CATCTAATTATTAAACACAAACAAATCAACTTCAAATCAGATTTAGAACAAAAGGAGGATAAAGGCTGAAGATTACTCTATCTGCTAATAAAATATCAGGTGCCTTGGGTCTAGCATCCGTTTCTTGCAGAAAGGAGCGGATCCAGAACCGGGCCGGCTCTGCACAGACAGCAGGCAGGTTCTGCTCTCTGCTTCTTCTTACTTTCCTCCACATCTCGGATGGCAGACACAGAGAGGAACACATTAATGTTTTAGATGCCTGCAGAGACAGGCATCTAAAACATGAAGTTGTACTAATTATTTTTTATTCAGGTCTTAAATTTGAAGACTCCAGACCTAAATGAGACCTGATGTTGGGCCGTTTCAACATGTGTTCATCATATAAAGGCTTTTTATCCATTAACTCTGAATTAATCTAACAAATCTGACCCAGAATATGCAAATTAACTTAAATACAGCTGCATTTCAGCCAAACCAGTTTAATGAGGGAAACCTCCAGTCTCAGTATTCATCAATTTATAAATTAAATCATCTATTTAAAGGTTTTCAGAGATTTAAAGTATCTCACAGAAAAACCCAGAATGCTCTTTGCACAGGTAATCTTGTTGAATAGATTTAGAGGTTTAAATACAAAGCAGTTTGTCTGAGGTGTTGCCTTAAAATACATCCACAGGTGTGAATCAACCAATCAGAAGACTACAAAGCAGTGACATCATAATCTGGCCATTTAATTATTTAAACATTTGTAGAATTAGAGAAGGTGAGCATCTTTTTTACATGGTGAAAAACAATGTAAAATGTTAATACAGAATTTGTTAATGTTTTCAATAATTGCATTTTGAATGTGATCAAAACAATCCTGGAATGGTGAAGATTGATTTATTTATCTTAAATGGTAAATGAAAGAATAATAAAAAAATAGGAAGCTGTTTTTGTCTGAGTAGAGAAGAACTTTGACATAGGAACTTTAAAGCTTCCAGACTGTTCAGCAGGTCAGGGAAACGATGAGCTGCAGAGGAAACGGATGCATGACGTTTTCTGCAGCTGTAAAAGAAACTTATGAAGCTGAAATCTGACGTCTCTTTATCATGAGAGACCAGGGCGTTCAGGCTGGTGGTCAGAGATTTGTTAAATTTATGACTTCATTTTCTATTTTTACACCTTTATAACATTCAAATTAAACAGAATTAAAGTGGGGTTCTTGTGAGCTTTTAAGCATCATCAACAGAAGCACTGATATTCTGTATGCAGATTCCTCCTAACAGTCTGAGGTAAACCTAAACCAGGGAGTGGCAGCCAAACTCATAAACTCTAGATTACATACCTTCTCCTACCAATCTCTGGATTTAACAGCATCTATAACTTAGAAAGGATTCATGTGAAATGAGAGAAAGCTTTTAAAACTAATCCTGGGTCTTTGACTGAGCATGAGATGTACCAGCCTGAGGGGACGTTTTGTTTTCACCACTTACTCTTGCCGTCATAGCAGAACAAGGGTGCAAATTCAATTGTAAATCTAATTTAAAATTAAATTCTGCAGCACACAAAGAGCTGCCTGTGATCCTTCATGTTTTATCTGCTGGGTTGACGCAGGGGCAGACAGGAACCTGCAGGTAGAGGGCCAGCAGCCCCAGGGTCAAACACATTCCAGGTTTTCCTGTGTGCAGACATGAACCCCCTGTGATGTTTTGCATTACATTCCTCAGGCATTATCCAGCAGGCAGGGAACGTTTTCCTCACATATTTGGTTTCTTGAAGGCATTACAAATGTCCTTCTGTCCTGCAAAGCTCATCAGTGCACACAACTGCAAAAAGCATCAATTTACCATGGGGAAATAAAGAATCCATAAATTACCTCTCTGACTGAGTAACAGCACACAAACACCCACCCTGAGTGATGCTTCTAATTATTATTATCCACCAAAGTCTGTTGATAAGTGTGAAACTGTCAAGGAAGGAGTGACTGCATGTTACCACAAGACAAAAATCTAATGTATTAACACCTTTCAGCCAAATCAGACCAGGCTTTTACACGTTTTTCACAGAAATCTCTTTAAAACACTCGCCTTCAGCTACAAGCACTCAGAGACAAACCTGCCTCAGCTGTGGTGCAAATAATCAACTTCCAACTGAAACAGATTCACTTTCTGGAACAAATGAGCAGAGTGTTGCTTTTATTTCACTTTTCATCATCAAACCTGAACATGTTTTAATTAAAAAAGACAAACTGGGATTTTATCCAGGCTCAAAACTGACCATCAGATTGCAGTTAACAGAAAAACGTATTTTCTTTCCACACCCAGATTTGATGCTTTCATCCCATTTATTACGTTTTCTCACCTTTGGTCGGTTCCAGCCCTTCAGATTACTCAGCTGCCATTATCCTGTCAAATTCCCTCATCCTCTGCAATGCAGCTGATGTTAAAGCCGGGACTTCCAAGAGTAATTATAGAAGAAAAACATGCATTATGTGTCCTCAGTTACCTAGTGACACAGTCCTTTAACCTCATGAGATCACAGAGCTGGAGCTGCCTCACTGTAATGCTGTATGCAGTGAGAAGATGCATATTGAAGCAATTTTAAAGCAAAGTCCTCAGTTTGGTTGGAGACAGAACCTCACCCATATCAACAGTAAGACTAAATCATGAAGTTCAGAACGGGTCTTACCTTGAAACTGATGGATCAGCATCAGAGTCGTGGCGAGAAGCCAGAAGTGAGTGAAGTCCATGCTGCTCTGCAGCCTCCAGGTGAGAAACGAAAGAAGAAAACTCTTTAGTCTCCAACCGATAAATCCTGCAGAAACGTGGCTGCTGTAGACCTGAACACCTGCGGGTCTGAATGTTAGCGTTGTGTTCGTACGTCCAGACGGATCCGCTCAGGTGGCGCTGAAGGAAAACCCCGGTATGGAGGGGCTCAGAGGCGTCTGCACGCTCCAGCAGCAGAGAGGATAATGAGCTGGGTGATAACAGGCGGAGAGGAAGGAGGAGGAGGAGGAGGATGCAGAGGAGAAGCAGCTCCTGCAATGAGAACCATAAATTAAAGCCTCCTCTGGTTGACCTGTGTCACGCTCTCACTGTGGTCCGCTCTGCTCGGCTCTCCTCCGTAACCTGGAGTTCTCCAGGGATTCCCTCACAAAGCCATCCTCACACACCAAGCTGCCCTGTTTATTTTTAATCTACACACCCGTGAAGAAGGAAAAACATCCATGCTACCCTGTCTGCAATGGTCTGGAAACGTTTTTCCACTTCACAGATTCCTTCTGTTTTTCCTCACTAAGAGTTTCAATCTGGTCATCGGCTGTGATTAACCTCATTTTCTGACCTCATGTCCCTCCATGATCAGGATGAGAATCTCACTGCCTCAGTTAAGGTTTCTACTTCATGATTCAACAATAAGAGAGAGAGACTGGCCAAAAATGGGAGAATCACTGCTGACCCAAAAGAACACAGAGGTCCGATTCACATTTTCCAGAAAAAGTCCTGATGATCTCGAGGACTTTGGGGAAAAACGTCTGTGGACTGAAGAGACAAAGGAAAGCTTTTAGAAAGGTGTGTCTGATTTCACTTGCTGTAAAACTAACAGGATGCTCAGAACCAGAACATCAAAACTACTGTTCAACACGGTGGTGGTAGTATGATGCTCTGGGACCTGAACCATACATTCAGCTCCATAGAAGGAGGAGAACATCCAGCTGTCCATGGATGGATGGATGGATGGATGGATGGATAAACAAAATGGCTGATAGATGGATGGATGAGCAATGAATGGACAACAGGAAATGAAGGAATTGAAGGATGATGGATGGATGAACAGATGGATGAATAAACAGATTATGGATGGATGGATGATGGATGGATGGATGGATGGATGAATAAACAGATTATGGATGGATGGATGATGGATGGATGGATGGATGGATGGATGGATGTCTCGTTGAGCTCATCCAGCTTCTCCTCCATTTTGGATCTGATCGCAGGTCGTTTCTGCATCTCCTCATCGTCAGTCGGACATTTTCACTCAGATGTTTGGAGTCTGAATCTTCACCAGGCGTCTCTGTTCAGGTTTTCACCCAGACCCGTTTCAAACTAAAGACCCAGAGACCCAGAGACGCTGTCAGAGACCCAGAGACGCTGTCAGAGACCCAGAGACGCTGTCAGAGACGCTGTCAGGGACCCAGAGACACTGTCAGGGACCCAGAGACGCTGTCAGGGACCCAGAGACGCTGTCAGGGACCCAGAGATGCTGTCAGGGACCCAGAGACGCTGTCAGGGACCCAGAGACGCTGTCAGAGACCCAGAGACGCTGTCAGAGACCCAGAGATGCTGTCAGAGACCCAGAGATGCTCTCCCTCCGTTATCCGGGGTTCAGACGATCAGAAACACCTTCTGCTGAGTGACAGGCTGAGACTTTGGCCTTATTTTACCAACACATCGGCTTCACGGCTGTTCACCGTCCTCCAGGTGAAACTGAGGGAGGGTGAGGTCTGTGTTCACTCATTCAGCCCAACAAGCACACTGATGGAGGATGTTACAAATCCTTTATCAGCCATTCATCATTTCAGTCCCAAACGAGCCGTTTTCAGCTTCACTACTACTTTGGCAGGTAATATTTCTGCATTTTTGTTAATGGGTCTCTTCCGAGGTCAGCTGGAAGAAAACACCAGGAAAACGACAAAACTTCAAAAAGCAGCTCAGTGGCTGTTTTATCTTTTCGGGGGCCAGGTTTAGGGGAAGCTGTCTCGCTGACTTTCTGTCAGTCTAACCGAGGATAAACGTTGTGGTAAACCATCATAGGACGTTCACAGGGACAATCCAAACATCTGGGAAGCAGATCCTGTGGTGAATAGGACTCCAAAGAGTCACTTGGTTGGGTTCCCCCAAAAACAGCTCCAAAAGACCTTGTAAACCCCATGAAATGAACAAGCTGTCCCAACATGTGTGATTCACCTCAATAAAAGAGGAAACATAAACAGGCAGGGTCTCATTAGTGGACAACAGAAATAAACCTAGATTCTTTTTTTTTGCTAAAACCTGAGAGAATCAAATGACTTCCACACCGATTAAAGTAAACTGAGTCCACCTGTGTGTAATTTTATCTGGGTATTAAAGCAACTGTTCCGTGAAAATGTCAAAACTTTTACTGTGCACATCAGAGAACAACCAGGATCATGAAGACCGAGGAAACCCAGCAGGTCAAGGCGAATGTTGTGGACCAGTTTAGAGCTGCAGGTTTGGGTTCTGCAGCAACATCCAAAGCTTTGAGCATCTCTCACAGCGCTGTTCCCTCCAACTGGACCGACTGCAGGCCTGCAAAGACCTTCACCTAAAATCAGATCAGATCTGTTGGAGACTCAGATTCAAAGCACATTGAATTTTCCTTCCCATGAAAATCACAGTGTCAGTTAAACTGAACCAACACAGAGGTAACGGATTTGAACAAGATTATACCAATATTTCTAATACGTATCAAGTTTCCAAAAGATGTTGCAAGAATTAAGAGCAACTGAACATTTATCAACTGCTAGCCGTTCTGCAGTTTGAGGTTTCAACGGACATTAGACGCAGAGAGCTCTCCATGGTAAAATGTGACGATGGAGAATCAATCAGAGCCAGCGAACAAACACTGGCCACAGCCAGAGAAAACCATCTGAAAGAAGAAACAAACCGCTGAGATACCAAGTAACAGACATGAAGCAGGTAGGCCGAGGAAAACATCAGCGGCTGACGGCAGAAATGCATTGTGAGAACTTTAGAGAAGAAACAGATGTGAAGGAGATCAGCAGCTACTCGAGATTATGCAAACCAGATATTAGCAAAAAGGACAGAAGGATTAGAGTCAGATTTACCACTCTGTTCGCCTACAAACCTGGGTCTCGCTTTGGTAAAGTGAACTTTGATATGTAAATGTCAAGCGGACAGGAGACTGCTCTAAATGCATGAAGTGGACGACAGCACAAGGCATTCTGGGTAAATACAAACGGGCTAGTTTAGCGCTAGCAGAAGAAATAGCTGCTTTTTCGCAGTTGTACAACTGCAAAAAAACTGACACTGCTCTAATTTTGTTTACACTTTTTTATGTTTTCTTCATTTTTTGTGTTGTTTCCTTCTGTGGTTCTTGGTGCAGTGCCCCCACAGGCGAGGAGGTGAACAGGCTTTTCAATTAGTTTGGTTCATTGACAGTCCATATTTTTATGGACCAGGACTGTAGAAATGTGAAGCTGACTCTCTTCCTCACCACTTTACACTCACTCCAGTTGATGGTGGAGGTCATGGTCCGAAGAAGCCAAGAGAACAAAAGTATCTGCGAAAATCAACGATGCCGTCCCAGGTTTCCAAACCAGACACCGTGATCTCCATCAGATGCTGTTCATGAACAAGATCCACTTATACCAAGAACGTTGACACAGTTAGGTCCTTAAAAGCCACCCAGATGCCCCAGAGTCCCACAGCACATATCTATCCTGCTAAATAGCTAATGTGTTATTAAACCAAATAATCAGCCATGAGTCCCTCAGTAGGAGATTACTCCATCTGTCCAGCCCCTTGGATTTTATTTCATCTTGCAGACTCATTTGTGAGTCTTAGCATCTGATTTTTCCCAAAGAAAATGTTTTTAATGTTCACTTTAGAGATAATGTCTGCTCATGGGAACTGTGGCAATGTAAATTTTAGGGAGGGATTGTGGTTTTGTCAAATAAACCGTCTGTAGAGTTTGGGTCGGAACCTGAAACGTTTGGTAGTCCCTTAACACCTCCAGCTCAAACAGGCCGCTTTGACTTATTCTGTTGTTTTTGTCGTAAAAATGAGTAATGACTTAATGTTTTTCCAGGATTACATAAGAGGTCATCTCATGTGTTAATAATAAACACTTTGTGATTTAATAACCATTTAGAGGTGCATAAAAACTGACTTTAATTGGGATTCCTATGGTTTTTATTCTAGGGGAAAGTCGTTTTGAACATGAAGAAGTTAAAACTGTAAAATCCAAATATGCACCCCTGTGTTTTTAAGATACTTTAGCAAACAAATGAAGCAGTTAAACTCTCAAATGAAACTTTGCTATTAAAATGTCTTTATACTACAGAAGAGTCAAATTCTCAATGTTATTAAAATGCCACGGGAGGCAAAAATACCACAAAACAATATGATAAACTGCCAACATTACACAGAATATTACTGTGAAAAATTATTGTTTTTCCTGAAAATATGACAGTAGTCAAAGTTATTTTACCTCATGAAAATAGTGACAAATATTTTTCTCAAATCCTGAAATAAAAACTTTTTTAGAGAAATTATATGTTTGCTGATTCGATTTGTGAAGCAACTGGCAGCATTTTATGCAGAGATCAGAATGGTTTCATAAAAATGATTCAAATTCAACGGCCTTGATGGAAATATTTAATGAAATATGTGCCTGAAAAGACAAAATACATTATTTTGTAGATATATTTGTAGATTTAAAAAAGCTTTGGATACCATTGATCAGTGTGCTGCTGGAAAGTTGAGAAAATATGCTAAATGTTATTTTATAACATATAAAACCGAATTGAAAACCGTTTGAAGAGAAATATTATGCTAGATATGACTTATCTAAAATGTTTTAATATCTCATTGATCTTCTCTCCTGGCAGACGGAAGAGATTAAATTCCTGTTTTACTCTGGATATAAACTGGAAACGATTTTATTCGTATATAAAGTAAAAGACTCTGAATGGTGAAGCACTGTTGATGCACATTCACTTGTTTCATATTTGACACATTTTGAAGAAGTTTGTGGAAATGTTTGAAAAGCTTTTAACAATTTGAGAGAGAGAGAGAGAAAGAGAGAGAGAGAGAGAGAGACAGAGAGAGAGAGAGAGAGAGAGAGACAGAGAGAGAGAGGGGAAACTTTTAAAACTGCAATCAATGGAAAAAAGTCAGAAGTAAATAAAAGCTAAATTTTATCCAGCTGTAATTTATGTTTCAGAAGAAGAAAGATTAATGATTGTTTTCATGGGTAAAACCAACCAGACAACAACAAAGATGATTGTTAAAAGAAGAAAACACAAAATAGAAACATTAATGGAGAGACAGCAGACAGACTCGTGTTTTTTGGAAGACAATCCTGTGAAATTCTTCAAAAACCTCTCTGGTAATCTCTGCTTTCACGACAGCATCATAAAATGCTCTGAGCCACATTCCTTTAACCTTTTCTGTTGTTTTTTCATGTCTTCATAGACCCATAAAGAGCAGCAGTGTTGCATTTCAAGACTCGGTGGATTTAGTGAAAGTTGCACAAACTGCTGTGGGACGGTCACGGCTCTGAAACGGGCTGCAGCTTTTCCAAAAGAAAGAACTCAAATGACCTGACTGGAAGTTTTTCTTACTCCATTAAATCTCAATAATCTTTTAAGTACATCTTAGATTTTATTTTATATTCTACTACTTCAGAAGTTTTGAAAAAAGATTTTAGAAAGATAAGAAAAGTGCAGATGATGATGCTGTGGTTCTTTGAGCTATTTTACAGATTTTCATTTCAAAGCAGCACATCAAACACGTTGACATGATGGAAAAATCAAAAGAAGCCAGCACAGACTGCAGAGCTCCTAGAGTCAGGTTCATGCGTGTTTCTGATTCCTAAGCGCCTGGAGGTGGCATCTGGATCGACTCAAACTGCAAACAGTTCAGGAAGGAGACGGGTCAGAGTCCAGTAGATGGGCAGGTTCAGAGTTAAATATGTGAACAAAATCAGAAAATGTTAAGTTGATAAGAGAGCATCAGCACCAAAATGACTCAAACTCAAAGGATATGTTCCTTTATCGGTCCAAGAGGAACATAAAAAGCCTCATTTCAGTTTGACGTGTCCTGTGGTCAGTGAGGAACCTCCTGTCCTGCAGAGGCAGCTGCTCACTTTCATGAAACGGACCAGAAGGGACTGAAATGGATTTTTACTGAAGTCACCAGAAATTCAAGATGAAAAACTTTTGTCGTAATGCAAACTGAAACCTGCGACAGAACCAGGCCGCCTCCTTTCCTACCTTCACTAAAATCCCACAAATGTTAACATCTGTTCCCCGGTGTGTGGAGGTCACTCAGCACCTGTGGAAAAGCTGTGGAAACTCCCTACTGGGAGTACTGGGAGTGCTGGGGAGGTTGATAAATTCTCTGTACTGATGGCAGCTGGAAAGGGAGAGAAATATGGAGGTTAGGAAGACGAAGCCTACAAAGACAACACAAACTGATCTTTGTGTTGTCTTGGCTGTGGTCTGTGTAGGCACCAGATTTCAAATCCAAACTGAATGATTCACAGCTGCTTTGGGTTCTTTATCCAGCTGAGCTTCAGACCATCAGGTTTGTCTGAAGGAGGAACCTGTTGGTGTTTAATCAGCCAGATTGTTGGAGAAGTCTTCAAGGATTCCAGACATGCCTTCAAATAATGAATTTGCTTCTTAATCAGCAGCGACCAGAAGCTGTGTGACCTGAATGTGAGCTTTTAATCCCAGCCTGCTTGGAAGAAATAACTGAACCAGATGGATCTCATTTCGAAGGTTATTTACAGATTTCTGGAACATCTTAATATGCTTAAAAATTAATAGAAGAAGAAGAAAGCAGAAAAAGGCCCTCCGGGTGCTGCTAAATTAAATTATGCTTTTTAAAACGCGTAGCGACAAAGTCCTTGATCGCTGCCAAACAGAAATGAAGCAGAACGGATGAACTGCTGCGGCTCCTTTACCTCCCAGAGAAATGTTGCCAAACCAGAGACCCAGACTGCTGATGCAGCCACCAGGCTGCAGCTCCAAACCTTTAACCTGCTTCACCAGAGTCTGGCAACGCTGTCGAAGGAAGACTACCTATCTACGCTCTTCTCCTTCACTGTTGGATGCTTTGGTAACTGCCTGATCATTTCCTACAGCAGCTCCGTCAGATCGATTCATTTCTGCTCCAGTATCCATGTGGATCGGGTCCGGTCCAAGTCGGCCTGGTCGTCCTGGGACCTGATCTGTTTTTGTAAGTTCAGTTTTAATCTTAAGAGAAGGAGAAAGGAGAAGGCTTCAGCTAAGCAGCAGTTTCATAAAATAACAAACACTGTTGGCGAAAGAGAAATTTTTTAAACTTTTTCACAGGTCAAGACATTAATAGATTTATTGTTTTTTCTATGACTTGTTACCTGATTTATTCAACCTGGTTCTGAGTTAATGCTTGCTCTGTTTATTTGGTCCTGCATGTCATAATCTCTAATGCTAATAATTTTCCAGTAACACTTTATTTGAAGGGGTCTGCATAAGACTGACATGACACTGTCATGAACATGAAGAAGTCTTTATGAATGTCTATGACTGATGTCATGAGGTAAATAATGACATTTTAATGCAAAGTTGCCCTAAAAGTCCATTTAAAGTGCCAACTTTGCATGATTTTGTAAATAATGAAAATTTAATGCAAAGTTGGCATTTTTAATAGACTTTCACATTCATAAAGACTTCTTCATGTTCATGACAGTGTCATGTCAGTCTTATGCACACCCCTTCAAATAAAGTGTTACCAATTTTCCTATAATCAAATTTGTTGAGTTTAAACCATTTTTAAAGTAAATTTGTCAAAAGTCCTGTGTGAGAGTCTTCAACCAGTCAGAAATTCACTGCTTCAAAAATAAACCGTACGCTAAGATGAGAATCAATATTTGCATTTGGCTGATGTAATTGTTCATAATTAGGATTAATTTCTGGGATCTTAAGTGAACCTCGTCAGTTTCTTGTGAATGATTTAATTCAAAACCACGGAACAGAGGAAACATTTCACAAGGATCGATCATTGACGCTTATTTCCAATCAAGTCTGAGAATTTATTAACAAAATATTCCAACTTTACGCTGAATTATTCCATAAATAACTTATTACTCTAACTACCAACATGTAATCTGGTAACTTATAGGAAGGACAAAAAGAATACATAGGGAACGGTAAATGAAGGATAAAATCAAACCTCTGATAAAATGAAATACTGAAAAATCATTTCATCCTTAATCAAATCAGACAAATCTTCACTTTCTCCATATTTACCTACAATGGTGAAAAAAATCCAGATTTTTCAGTAGGAACTTTGTATAATTATACAACACAAATAAAACTAATTTTAATTAAAACTGTTTTAAAATACTATTGTGTTCCCTTGTTTAAAAAACTGCATGATTTTCTGCTCCTCTATATAAAAATCTAAACACATTTTCAAATATAATTTTGCAGCCAGTTCCTCAGACTTTAATGGAGAACTACATGTTGCTTCATAAATGGTATATTTACTGACTTTAGTGTCATTTCAAGCCAAAAGAACCGCAACAGGAATGCTACAATTCAACTTAAATTGAAAACTGGCATGAATGACAGAAACTGAGGCTGTGAGGTTGAAGATTAAACGTGGCTTGTTGGCATTCATAAGTTAATGCAATCATAAAGTTTGATGGTCTAAAGAAAAGGAAAAGGCTGCTGGATGAACAGAAGAGCAGTCTGGGTATAAAAACAGACATTTGTACTCCTTTAAAAACACTTCTCAGGTTTATTTAGGACATGGATACATGCGTTGGCATGGCGACAGGTCACTGAATCAATTCTTCACTTCTCCTGAAACGTAAATCCATCAGAAGCAGAAATGTATCTGCATGCCTGGAGTACCAGAGGTATTTCCCTCTCTGCAGATTTCTTTAGAGTTCAGAGGCTGAGTAAGTAAAACATCATGTCTCTAAACCCAACACCTAACATCAAGAACAGATGAGAACAAAGTCACTGACATCTATCAGACGGTTACAAAGGCTAAATGTAGCACTGATTATGCTACTATAGATGTTATGTAAACTCAGACGGAACGACTACTGGAGCTAACAGAAATTATTAAGAAATAGAGGATAATGATTGTTTTTAGTGCCACATATCTGGAGAAATTAAAGGAAACACCACAAAAAATTAAACATACATAGAATAACCCATAAAATAAACAGGAATATGTACAATACTGCAGCTAACTTTCAAAGTTAATGTGCACAAGGTTTGTTGAAAATGCAAAGAAGACACAAATCAGCAAAGTTACCAACTGAGACACATTAAACAAAGACGGTCCATGATTTTATTTATCTGATTTCAGTATCTTTAAACTCCATAAGGTCACCTGGCCAGCATTAACATTAACAGGACTAGTAAATTATTATCACTGCTAGTTAAAAACTTAACTAGACATTTTTCAATGGTTCTTGTGTTCACATAAATCAGACAAATACATGCAGTTATATTCACAAATGTGTATAATTTGAATATTCCTCACCAATAATTCAAGGTTTTTCACTGGTTTATGTGCCATATTAATATCTCACAGAATGCATTACCTGCCTAAGAGGCATTTTCATTTATGATACCAACTTAAATTCAATAAGTTCTTAAAATGTTGAACTATGTTACCATCAGCTGCAAATGCAGCCCAAACCAGTTAGCATTAGCTACCAACACTAGCATGCTAAAACAAACAAACATTTTATTCACAACTCACCAGTTGCATTCACAGTTCACTGCATGACAAACTTCATGGCCCAAGTCTCACTGGTAGTTCAGATCTCACTACCAGTTAGAGGAGCGAGCCTTACGGTGCAAAAGGAGCAGAAAGAAATGAAAGAAGAAGTTTGGCAGCACAAACCTGCAGCATCTTTAGCTCTCCCTGAGCTGACTGGGTAAAGCTGGAGCACCAAAACACTCCAACAGCTCCTGACTCACTCTGGAGGCTCCAGCATGCAAGGACCTGCAGGCCTCACGTCCTCAGTAAGGGTCAGAGGTCATGATTCAACAGTAATAAAGATGGGAGAGTTTTAACCAAAAGGTCACAAAGATCCGTCCCCTGTTATCGAAAAATCTTCTTAATGAAAACTTTTGGAAAAATATTCTGTGAACGGATGAGACAAAAGTCTCTGAGAGAAAAGGAACATGATTCTGTACCTGAAGTCAAACAGGGTGGGGGGGGTCTGATGTTGGACAAAATACATTAATTCTGCAGAAAACCATAAAATATTAAACAATCACCAGACACTCTGCTCAGTCCTTCCTCTTGTGCCTGTTCTCTGCCTCATTCAGTAGGGTAAGAAAGGAGGAGCGTGTTTAACCCTCTGTGGAAAATGCAACTCCAACTCCATCCCCTTTGGTGATGTTAGCGACTTTGACAATAGATTGGTTCCTTTAAGAATGTCAGCTCTTCATCTGCTGACTACATGCTGAATGTCATGTCTTTCCTAAAGGAAGAATTATGTCCCCAAGCACCAAAACCAGATTGTGAAACTGCTGACATCCCACAGTGTCTCAGTGAAAGTGACCGTTTCACTTTTAGGCCCTTAAAATGTGAACTGCTGCAGGAGAACAGAATAAAATCTGGATGTTGGAAAATGAAAAACAAGAGAGAAAATGTGTTTCTTTTCTGTGTTTTATCTCCATAAACTAAATCCGATCATCGCTGAGGCCGTTCATCTGATAACATCACATATTAAAGACATTAGGTAAAGTCTACAATAACATGCAGGGAGGCTTTGGCTATATTATGACACCTGAAACGCTGTTTGTTGAACTGAAGAACTGTTTGATTTAGCTTTGAGCTTTTATTGTGCAGTGATCAAAGTTCCCTACTGTAGCTCTTGTCCATTTATCACTTCATTTATCAGAGTCTAGATAAACTCTCCATGCTGTTTTCCCCTCAGGTTCCCATCTGTCCACAGCATGAAGGTATGTTATAAACTGCAGAGCACCGACTGATCGAGTCTGAAGCACGTCTTCAAACCTCAACAGGACCTATTTATGCTGCAGATTACAGTACATTTCTAAAATATTGCATATTTTTGCTCGTTGCAGCATAAATATAGGCCATACTTTAACAATGTGCATTCTGTGGTTTTAACTGTGACACTGAAAAGCAGCAGGAGGTTAACAGGAACAGGAGACATCAAATTCCTGCATCGCCAGAAGCTGGAAGCTCCAGAGAAAACCTCCCATTCCTGCATTGATGTTTGTTTGATTTTATGGTAGATATGGTTTATCGATGTGTCTGAGAACAAAAAATAATTGTGCAGTTCAGAAATAATCTAGTACTTTCAGTCAGTCAGTAAAAAGTGGGATCAGCATTTTATCAGAGAAACTTCTGTTTTTAGAGACGAGAAACTCAGTCCGACGCAGAGACGGAAATATGACTAATTGAAAAGTTTCCTATTATCAGATCCTGGATGAGGTGAGGTAGCATACGTAGCGTTAGCACGCCGTAAGAAGACCTACATTTAAACCTTATGTAAATACTTCATGGTAGGTAGATGAACCTTTCTGTTTTTGTGATTTTTACTTCCTCCCCTCAGAGTTTGATCTGTTTCCTCTCATTTTTTTCTTTTACCATGAAAAATGCAAGCATATGGTCCAGATCAGGGGGAAGTATTGGAGGGATAAATTACTGCTAATTTTTCTTCTCTGATGGATGTCCTGTCTCCATGACGGACTACAGGGAGTTCTCCTTGGAGGCTCAAACAGATGGCTTACTTTGGAATAAAAATAAGTTGTTCTCAGCCACTGAACAGTTTGTGGTGCTCATAAATTCATTTGAATAATTGGAAACATATATTCCCGCGAAGAAACATGTGCCACTGAATGGATCTGTGGTTGTCTGGCCAGGTTGGCTGCTCCATTTTGACTCATAATTATCCCTCGGTGTTTTTTGCTTTGCTTCACTTCAGGAAGTGTTTTTGCATCTCAGACATGCACCGACAGCATTCTGCAGACACCACATCATACGCTCTGAGGGCTGGATGCAGACACTTCTGCTCCAAGGCCACTCTGCATACACATGTCCTGGCTCTGGGATGCCAAACAGCCACCAGCTCTGCAACCACAGGTTAACCAGAACCCCATCTGAAGTAATTCCCTGGGCGAACCGAGGATTAGCTTTAAAAAAGCCCAGCAGACTGCAAGATCATAGAAAATGTTTTTAAATCAGTTACAGTGAAACTCAACACTTCAAAAAGATTACTATAAATCAAGTAATGATTAAATAAACATCATGGCTGTTCCCAGAGAAGGAAGGCAAAAGTCCAGCAGCCTCAGTCGCTTCAACAGCTGGGCAAGAATAAAGATGAAAAATACATTAGAATAAATTCAGTGTAAACTCCATCAACCAAAAATCAAGCCATTCCCCCCAAGGACTTTCAACAAATGCATTAAACATGATGCAGTCGCTAAATAATGACTGTATTTCTTCCTTTATTTGAGATTCTTTGAAGCCTGTCATGCTGCAGAAAAGTTTTTTTTTTTTTTTCTGAGAGCAAAACATTTTGCAGTTTTCAAATAAGTGAACATCCCAGTAGTTTCATCCAAGGATTAGAAAGTGCAAAGTTCAGATAAATGACAACAAATCTAAAACTTGAAGATGATTCAGTGGAACCTATGATGCAGATGATCATCAGAAACATTTTGATATTCACTTTCTAATACTTAGGAACTGAATATCATTGGAAACACTTCATGCTCTTTCTGAGATCAAAATCTTTGATTAAACTTTGACCTGACTTTGGCCTAATTATAGGCAGAGAACAGATATTTGTTAATATGTTTTTATTTGCACAATGAGGCCGAGTCCACATGCAAAATTATGTAGTGAAGATATTCGTTTCCATAAAATAATCTCATCAACGCCTGATTGGCTTGAGAAAAGTTTTCATCCACACAAATCCACTGAATTACATTACTGAGTTTTATTTTAAACATGCCAAACCAACAGGGGGCAGTGTAGCGCTAAACTAACACCTCTCAGCCAATCACAATCCTTCAAAACAACCAAACTTCCTGTTAGGGATTAAACGTGGCGCCAGGAGATTCGCTGTGTGCACAGACAGAGAAGTTGAATTAGTTTAAATGTTGTTTTATAGTACAACGTAAATAAAACTCGAGATAATGTTGACTGGGAATCATGGAGCAGCTGGGCTTATAAAAAAACAAGTAAAAAGTGTCTGAACAAACATTAGTCATCTTTCCTCCGAACAGTAACTATGGTTACGGCCAAACAGTAACTATGGCTACGGCCAAACAGTAACTATGGTTACGGCCAAACAGTAACTATGGTTACGGCCGAACAGTAACTATGGTTACGGCCGAACAGTAACTATGGTTACGGCCGAACAGTAACTATGGTTACAGTAACGGTTCGTCAGCATTATTTGTTGCAGTCTGTCTTGCTTTCACCTCCAAATCTCCAGTTTCCAAACGCAAACACAAAAAATGAGAATTTGCAAATCTCCACTTAGGCTGCAGTTTTCATTATGAATCATGTTAGTGATATTAAACGGAGGTTATGTGTGGATGAGGCCAGATCACCAGCTACATGCGGACACAGTTTCTGCTGAGTGAAATGAATAAACCTCCCAGACGTCATCCAGGCTTTACTGACAGGAAGACGACATCTCATTCATGTTTCTGTAAATATTTGTCATGTTTCCTTCAGCTCTGGTTTCGCAGCATCACTGCAGTGACAGTAAAGACAGTTTTATTTTCAGCTGGATTCCTGCTGACTCCAGCTGTTCCAGGAAATGAACCACATGTATGTGTGCTGATAAAAAAATCCTGATCTCGTTTTGCTCCCATTTTCTTGCTCATTCTTATTTTCTTGTAATAAAACAACAAGCAGCCGAACAAAAACAAGGCAAAGTTGTCCTGTAGTGATGGATCTCAATAAAGAAAAGGAATCAAAGCTCTGCAGAGCAAACCGAGCAGCTTCCTGTAAAACAGGGATGAAGGCAGAGAGGGAGGATGAAGAGGAGGATGAGGTTGACCAAGCGTCAGACCTCGTAAACTTATATATGCCCTTTATATAAAGTGTGGTCGGAAGAAAGGAGAGACGGTGGAGCTGGGGGTGGGTTTGGATGAACTCAGGTTAAAATTTAACCTCTGTTTCTTCAAATAATCTCAGTTGGAGAAGAAGCAGGAAGAAGGAAACAGGAAGCAGGAAGCAGGAACAGTTTAATGCTGAGAAATATTATTTTGAAATCTGCTTATAAGAAAATCCTTCAGAAATCTGAAAAATGACAAACATAACTGAAGTGATAGAACAGACAAGTCCTGTTTTTCTTTGAACAAACGTCATTTTTATGGATTCAGTTTAAACAGTGTATTTATGTCATTTCTCCTGATCGTGACCCCAACATGTTTCAGACCATCGCCTCTCTGCTTCTCTCAGCAACATTAACTGAATAAATAAACCAACACCTTTTTCTCCTGTGGTTCAACCAGCAGGTTTAGATTAATCCAGTTCTGCCACCTGGCCGTTCCCCAGAGAAACCAGCAGATCAAAACCAAACTGGAAGCGAACTGGAAACAGCGTTACGTCGGAGAAGCATTATTAAGACATAAATTAAGTTTTCTAAGTCTTTTCTGCTTTTCAGGCGAAGTAGTTCATTCTCTAGTAATCCCATGTCTCATAGAAACAGACAACAGATCATTCATGTTTGAGAATTGTCCATTTGTGTCCATCCAAAAGTCCAGTTTGCTTTGATATTTTCATTCTAGTGTCAAAGGAAACCGGATCAGATCCACTGATGCCACCAGCAGCAATGGTCATATTTCATTAAACATGATTTTCTTTCTGCTGGTTGCTATACATAATGACTTTGCAACATCTGCATAGCGATTTCCTGATTGAAAACTCCAAACATTGGAAAATAAAACTTGGCAGGAAAGTGATGAGCAATAACATTGCTTCATGGAAGAAAACCAAATAAAAATCAGATTA